CTTTCTTTTCTTCATTTTTTTCTTTTTCTTCTTCTTCTTCTTCTTCTTCTTCTTCTTCTTCTTCTTCTTCTTCTTCTTCTCCTTTCTAAATGAATTCAGTGAGTTATTAACTGTAAGATCTTCATCTCAGAGTATAATTGATTGTTTATGTACATGGCTCTTTCATCAACAAAGAACGTAGAATCATCTCTTGCCTGACAGGGAGCCACGTGCCCTTTCCAAAAGTACTCTAAATAGTTATATTATGCTGATTGTGCTGCCTAGTGAAAGTGTGAGGTGTATGACGTCTGTGTGTATGGTGGGACGGTAAGTGGGTGGGTGGGTGTGAGTGAAAGAATGTGTGAGAGGGAGGGGGATAGGCGGTAGGCGGGCGGGTGGGTGATAGAGAAAAAGTAGTTAAAGAGATCCGGAGGTTAAGTATACTATCAGATAGGAATGTCTCATTACTGTGGCATCGAGGTAAAATCAGGCGCTCATTAAAATTATGAAATGTTGTGTAAAACGACCTTTTTTACGCCTGTCGAGCAATTTTTTTCCCATTTTGAACATGTTTCTTTTTGATTCAATACCTTCTATGTCCATTAAGATTTAAAAGATATGTTCTAGGGGTCTTACGTAAAATCTTTGATCAAAAGCGGCCGTGTTTTCACTATCTTTGCCTCTGACATCAGTTGAACACACCTCTTTCAATTTTGTAAATATTTCGACTTCTTCTATTCAAGAGAGATTGGTATTTTTTTTTTAATCAAAAGCAGAACAAACAAATGGTCAAGCTAATGATACCAATAACTCCGTAAAAAAAAATAAGCCTAAAAATTGACGAGCGTCTGATTCTACTGCGTCGTGACACGTTTTGTTGTCGTTCAGGATAAACTTTTGTTTTTCTTGTGTTTGTGTTTTGTGGATGAAACAGCTTGTGTAAACTTGTAGTACTTTATCATAGTGGGGAACGATTTTATTCAAACAAATAATCATATGATGTTAAAAAGGTTCTATCTGCAATTTACGTACTTTTGAGATCTTGGACGTCAAAAGTGGGTGCTCTGGTGTGGTTTGTTCTTTCTTTCCTATTTTAAAAAAATCTATCGTCCTCATTTCTCCTCTGTCATTTTCATGTTTGTTACTCTCTTGTAAAATTTCTAATTTTCGGTACTTTTATGACCTAATTGTGTTGCAAGTGTTGTAGAAAGTCTCTTACTTAAACATAAAACGAGGACGTAAAAGTTAGGAGGGTTTTAAACACAAAAGCAGATAGGACTTGGTATAATTTTCACAGAGCAGAATATTTCCTAGTCCTTTCAGAACGAAACGTGGATCACCATGCATTGTATGCTTCCCGGGAAGTTGAGATCGTTTTGGAATGCTATCAGGTCTGCAGATGTAATATTATTACGGATTGTAAAGTGCATAGAGCTTGCTGTTGAGCGTCGATTTGCGTTATAAATAAAAATGCTATCTATTATTTTAGCGCGTTGCAGACAGAATTCGCGATAAACCGTAACTGAAAACATCTACAAAAGGCAGATAGAACGGTTTTAATCTCATACTACGAGCAATGCCTTACAATGACTTATATCTCATGTTTGTTGTAGAAAAACATTATATCATTAAGACATTTATCTATAACTAATGTAAAGCTGTGAACACAGAAAAATCTCTTTGACATAAGTATTTATCATTAAATGTAATTTAGAAATAAAAGAGTTTCGTTTTGTTGTAACTGTATGATGGCCACTAGTGTTGATACTTCATGTATTGCTTTCTTTCCTTCTTCTTTGACACACCGCCTCTCACCCCCCCCCCCCCCCCCCCCCCTCTGTCTGTCTGTCTGTCTGCCTGTCTCTCCCCCTCCCTCTCTCTCTCTCTGAAACACCAACATACTTTCAACATTCCCCCCCCCCACTCGTGGGTGGTTGGCAGGTGCGCATCTGGTGTGGTCTGCTCTATCTTTCCTATCCAACATCTACCGTCCTTCAATTTTGTGTTTATTGCTCCATGTAACATCTCTAATCTTCGACACTAACATGATCTTATTGTGTTTGGAGTGCCGTAAAACACTGACTAAAACTAAAACTGACCCCCACCCCCAACCCCCAACCCCTCCAACCACCCGGTTTATTGTGGATTTGTCTGGCTACATTATGTTACTGTCCCACTGGACAAAAACAGGTTTGTTCACACAAAGGTGAATTTTCCCCCTTGCACATTTATATGAGACTGACGCCATCTGATTAGTAGAGAAAGGTGGGTGTGATAGAGTCCAAAAATGTATTAAGAACATTCTTATTATAACGTGTAACTGTTACAGATAGAGATTCGAGGAATAGATGTAAGTTAATGATCTGAGAACAATGATGATTTTAGCCTATATATAATGGTGGTGGTGAGTGATGATGTGTGATGGTGTTTATATAATGTTAGCGTTAGTCCTATCTTCCTCTGCTCCAATGGTCACGAGGGATGTAGGCACCCACTATTTCGTTCCTTACATCATTAGTGCTAGTCTATTCTGTCGGGGCTAAAACAGCACCTGGACATGGATGGCTGGTGCCTCTATAAATAAATCATTGATGGTCAGGTCTATTCTGTCGGGCCAAGACAATTTAAGGGACGAGAGGACTTAAGTAGGAAGACAGTACAGTGGCAGTTATGTTGGGGTCTTCGTAAGCGACAAAGGTGAATATTGATAAAATGGCATTTTTTCTAAGTGCCCCAAAACAAGAGTTGACAAACGGTCAGAATGCACGACTTCACTGAGCTAACTGGACAGATAGTGTCATATTGACAGCTAAATACATACTTTGTACTTGTCCGCATCTTATTTCTTAGAGATCATAATATTGGTGTTGATAAGAGCGTTAAACCCATACGCTAAGCGCATACACCTGTTCATAACATCACCAAGTCAGAATAAATGTTTTAGTCAAATAGATTTAAACCCACATTTTTAAGCGCAAAAAACCCACCAAGTGCTATCTAACAGGTAAAATACGCTTCCTCATTGAGGTAAGCAGATAGTGCTATATTGGCAGCACAATACGCATTCATATCAAAATCTCATAAGAAAATTTTTACTCAAATACATAAGCTTATATTATATCATAATTACAGAATTAAAATCATTGTCAAATAAACATAATATGATCATTTTATCATAATTTCATAATTAAATTCTTAGTAAAATAAACATAATGTCATGGTTACAAAATTAAGATTTCAATCATCAAACATAAAGTGATTTCAGGAGTAAATTTTTTGTAAAATAAACATATCATAATTTCAGATTTAAAATTTTGATCAAATAAACATTATAAGCTTAATTTCATAAATAAAATTTTATTCAAATAAACATATCGTTATTTGAGAATTAATATTTCAGTCAAATGAACATATCATAGTTTCAGAATTAAAACTGGGGTGAGAGAAACATTCAGCTTTAGACTACTCAGCTTGCGTACCCTTTTTGTGAACGATGCAGAAAAGTTCACAAAAAGCTGCCTTGTATTTGGAGCTCATCGTCAAGTAGGCAAAAATGTTCACTGTAGAATTCACACCCTCCAGCAGGAAGAAAAACGACCAGACGATGAAAAACAAATTATTGTACTTTCCCGAAATGCCGTAGTCCGGTTTGAAAATCATGACAGATGTGCTGACGGTTCCAGGGATAAACAAAACGATGAAAATCCCAGACACGGTGACCACCATTTTGATTAGCTTCCGGTCTCGTGACGAAATGTTTTCGGCTTGAGTCGCCTGCTTCACATTTTTGCTTCGCCATTTTGTTTTGCTGTTTAGTTGTACAACCAGAATAGTTGTGCAGATAATGACAGTCACAAAGGCAGCCCAGGCGGAGAAAACGTTGTTGATGGCGAAACTTATTTCGTCAACCTAAAGGAATATTAGATAAATATTGTTTAAAAATGAAAGAGAGAGGGAG